CCCGCCTGGATTCAATCAGGGCTAGTTTTGATCACATCCCATCTTTTTCCTCCTTCACCTCTGTGTTTTATCATGAAGTGATATGGCTGCTCACATTTCTATGATACTGTTGGCATTTCAGTTGATCCCCCCCCCCCCACAAACCCTTCCAGGGAAATTTGGATCTAGAAGACAAACAACACTTGATTTGCTTATTACAGCAACTTCCTTAGAGCAGGACAGTCTGGAAGTAGTAGGAGGTTTCAACTCTTGCTAGGCCCCGAGGAATTCTGTGCGCTAAAGAATTTGCGTATATTGAGTAGCTGTGTTTGTCCTGAAATGTTGGTTGTGCAACCAAATACTTTTGTCTTTGCCTGGTTTTGAAAGAGGGCCTTGTGTATTGATTAATTGATTGTTAGTCTTCTGTCCTGTTTTTCCTTCAGGATTGCATACATAGCAGTCCATTTTAAATTCCAGGTATCCTTTTCGGTAAACTGGGCCGAGAGAGACTAATTGCCCTTAGTAAGCCTTGACCCTGAGGATGGCTCTGAACCTGAGTCTCCCAGATGCTAATTACTACTTTAACAGAAGAACAGTTGGAAGGGACCTTGGAGGTCATCTAGTCCAATCCCCTGCTCAGGCAGGAAACCCCGTACCATTTCAGACAAATAGTTGTCCAGTCTCTTCTTGAAAACCTCCAGTAATGGAGCACCCACAACTTCTGGAGGCAACTTGTTCCACTGATTAATTGTTCTAACTATCAAGAAATTTCTCCTTAGTTCTAGGTTACTTCTCTCCTTGATTAGTTTCCATCCATTGCCTCTTGTCTTTACTTTAACCACTAGACTACGTTGGTTTTCTCATTGAGAGAATGCAGACATTTGGGGCATTTCACAGGCCCTGCTCAGAAATGTCTGATTCTGATGGGGAACCTTTTGCAACAACAACAACAACAACAACAATAAAATTGGAAGGGACCTTGGAGGTCTTCTAGTCCAACCCCCTGCTCAGGCAGGAAACTCTATACCATTTCAGACAAATGGCTGTCCAGTCTCTTCTTGAAAAACTTCCACTGTTGGAGCATTCACAGCTTCTGGAGGCAATGCTTAGTCTGGAACTATAGTACACAAACCAAATTCTGTTTAGCAGCTCTGTCATTTTCTTCACCCTTTGCAGAGATTGCCTCTTGCAAAGCTGAGCTGAGTTCCTCTACCAGATCTCATGCAGGTCTAACCCAAAGGAAAACCAAGACATTCGCTCAGTCTTGCCCAAACATCTGTCTCAATGACTTGTGACTTTTCAAGATTTAATTGATTAATTTTCAGGGGAGTTGGCTTTTTATAGAAGTCAACCTGTAGGCCTCTTTGCTGATCATGTCTGAATACTCATGTTTGAATAGGTTTCAGATTGAGAATGTGTATCTTCTAATACAGGATTAACTCATGGATTTTGATGTTTCTTTAATGTGCTGATATTGGATGTCATTTTATCTAATCTATTCTAAGAATGTACAGTGAAAGCATAGCTTCGTGGACCTCACTCTCTGTCCAATTTTCATGTTTTGGACAACCCAAAACAAAAATGTGAATGTACAGTGCCCAAATCATAGAACAGTGCAATATAAAAGACTATACAGATGTCCCCAATCTGATGTCCACAGATTTTAAGACTATAGTTTCCATAAGGTTAACGCATTTAAGGCCAAGTTGGTTGTAGCATCCCACTTAAGGTGTTGAGTTAGAACTGGGCAGATGCAGATTGAGGTCCACCCTCTTCCCTTTGGAGCAGTTGCACTTTTTCTGTGCTCACCCATCTTTTCTGCGGGAAAACAGGAAGAGTGAGGACTGTATGCTAACATAAGTAGCTACGGAAGAAATGTGGGAATCAATAGGAACCATATTAAGTGGATACCTGACTCACTGTTCCCATGCCTTTGAGTGCAAAGATGGATTTGACATATTTGATTAAGCTGAAGGTTTTTTTTCCCTCTAAAAAAAATCCTAGACTCTGTAAATAAATAGTGTGATGAGAATGGCGCAGGTGTTATGGAAAGCAGTGTTTAGTTTTGTGACACTCATATGCCACGTACCTCTTACTTATATGTTCAATAGGAAGCTCAGTGGTGTGTTAACCATGGATGAGTCAGTAATTCTCTGTATCTTGTGGCTGGCTTGATTCCATGATATTTTTTTTATTTGCCTGTTTGCCAATTATTATCCCAAATGCATTTGCTACTTGGTAGGTTTGAGTGGCCAGGCAGACGTCATGGAGAAAGGTGGTGGAGGAGAAAAGATTTATTTCTGTAGGTAGATAATGCCACTTTCTGGCTGTTGGTATATTGATAGGAAGTGTTTCCTTCCTTAAAACACTGGGCTTGTTGGCTGGAAACCCAGCAGACCAGGTTCAAGACTCGAGCGCCACACGAAGGGGCGAGCTCCCGTTCCTTGCTGCTGCCAATCTAGCAGTTTGAAAGCATGCAAATGCAAGTAGATAAATAGGTATCCCTTTGATGGGAAGGTGACAGTACTCCATGATTTTATGCTGGCCTCTTGACTACGGAAATGTCTTTGGACTCTGTTGGCTCTTTGGCAGGGATAGGCAACCTTGGCTCTTTTATGACTGGTAGACTTCAACTCCCAGAATTCCTGAGCCAGCCATGCTGAGGGGAAAGGGAGAGGTTTCCAAGCTGAACCATGCTGGCTCAGGAATTCTGGGAATTGAAGTCCACGAGTCATAAAAAAGCCAAAGTTGCCTACCCCTGGCCTAGATGATAGGAAACTTGGCTCTTTTATGACTCGTGGACTTCAACTCCCAGAATTCCTGAGCCAGCATGGCTCAGCATGGAAACCTCTCCCTTTCCCCTCAGCATGGCTGGCTCAGGAATTCTGGGAGATGAAGTCCACGAGTCATAAAAGAGCCAAGGTTGCTTACCTCTGCTCTATGGCCTTGAAAGGGAGATGAGCGTTGTCCTCTATAATTGTCAACAACTAGGTCAGTGGTTCTCAACCTGTGGGTCGGGACCCCATTTGGGGTCGAACGACCATTTCACGGGGGTCGCCAAACAACGCAGTCCGCCATTTTTTCCCCTTTTCCTTAGCTGTGCTACTCCCTTTTATTCTATTGGCTTTTGAAAGCCAATAGAATAGACTCTCTTGAATAGAGTCTAATTCTATTGGCTTTCAAAAGCCAATAGGAATTGTCCAGGCTGTCTCTGCCCTGGTGAGCCCGCCAAAAGTCCCATTCTGCAAACGGTGCTGCACCAGTTGAGTAGTCCTCGACTTACGACCGGTTGAATAGTCCTTGACTATTGGGGGGTCGCAGCATTAAAAAGGTTGAGAACCACTGAACTAGCGGAATGAAATCTGCAGAAACTCCTTTACCTTCCTTTTTCTAATGTAACCGGGAGGTTTCACTGACAGCTTATTTGGCTCTTTACTGGCTAACCATACTGGCAAGAGTCTTGCCTATTAGCTTTTGATAATTAAGTGGTCATGCTAATGGGAATGTTAACAGGGAGAAGGTGTTTTGCTTCCACTGTGTTCATCTACACCAGCTTTCTCCAACCTGATGCTTCCAGAGGCGAGCTGGCTGTGGAAGTATCCTGGGATTTGCCAAAACCCTAATCCGTGCTTCTTTGGGTTCAATGAATCTTCCTCAATCTGGTGTCCTGTCTGGACTGCAAGTCTCAAACGCGCCCCCGCCCCCAGGGTGGATTTTGGCAAGCAGAAATAAATTTTGATGCTGTTGGTTATAAGCCAGTACAGTATTGCAACATCTGAGCAAATGGATTGTCTTAGGAACTTTGCCCTAGGAAAGTTGTCTTTGCAGTACATATATATATAATAAAAAAATTGAGATGCTTCCAGACCTTCTTCCAGGATTTATTCGTTTCCTTTTCTTTCTTTCCTATCTCACTGGCTTCTGTGGTTCACTTCATAGCAAACAGATGGTTCATATGGAGTTTGCCTTCCGATGAACTACAAACTTGACTAAGACTGCTTTCATGCCTAAGGCAGGACTAGAACTCACCGCCAACTGGTGTTTGGCCTAAAGCAGGGGTAGGCAACCTTTTGCTCTTTTATGACTCGTGGACTTCAACTCCCAGAATTCCTGAACCAGCATGGCTCAGCTTGGAAACTTCTCCCTTTCCCCTCAGCATGGCTGGCTCAGGAATTCTGGGAGTTGAAGTCCACGAGTCATAAAAGAGCCAAGGTTGCCTACCCCTGGGCTAAAGTAACTCAGCTAGCTTTCATGCCTAAAGTGGAACTAGAACTCACAGCCCCCTGGTTTCTAGCCTGGTGTCTTAACTACCAGATCAGATTGGCTCTAATTGGAATTTATTTATTTATTTATGAGACTTATATACCGCTTTAAGTGCAAGCACTCTCTAAGCGGTGTACACCAGTAAGCAATGTATATATATATTTACATTGCCCCCAACAATCTGGGTTCTCATTTTACCTAACCTGGAAGGATGGAAGGCTGAGTCAACCTTGAGCCGGTGAGATTTGAACCGCTGACGTGCTGAACACAGTCAGCTAAAGTGGCCTGCAGTACTGCACTCTAACTGCTGCGCCATCTCAGCTCCTTATAATTGATTTTATAATTGAATTTATAATTGAAACCAATTTTTTTTAAAAAAGCTTGCAGCCTAATTCTGGGCCCAAGCCTGCTCATAATTTGAGGATTCCCTTTATAAAGGAACAATCAATATAAATGTGTGTGTAAGAACTAAAATCCTTCTACTTCTAGTCCAAGGAGTGGATCTAAACAAATCAGTCAGTGAATTAATAGCACGAAACCCTGGGGGAATTGCAGAGAGCGTCAGAAGAGATGCTTCTGTCCTAGGTAAATGAGACCAAAAAATGTCAGAAGGACTGTTGTATCTGCTCATTCTTCCTCTACTGAAATTATCCAGGCTTGGGTGAACACCTTAGATCCAGATCAGCTATTGTTGTGCCTGATCTGCATTGAGAAGCTTGGCAAACACTCTGCCTAATCCCTTTTTTTTTTTTTTGCAGGAATGATTAGGCAGTGCACCTGTGCAAGCTTTTGTGAGAGGCGATCCCGAAAACTTCTGAAGTGTGAGATGTTTTTGTTCCACGTCCTTACACTGCTCATTAGTGAACCCGGCAGCCTGAGTTTGGAATCAGATCTGACGGGGTGAAATGAAAAACACAGCAGATGCAGAACGTGGGTGGGTGGAATCCCCTCCCTCCCTCCCTTCCTCCCTCCCTTCCTTCTTTCCTCCCTCCCTCCCTCCCTCCCTCCCTCCCTCCCTCCCTCCCTTCCTTCCTTCCTTCCTTCCCTGCTTCTCATTCCCATCTCCTTCCTTCCTTTTTCCCTCCCTCCTTCTCATTCCCATCTTCTTCCTTCCTTCCTTCCTTCCTTCCTTCCTTCCTTCCTTCCTTCCTTCCTTCCTTCCTTCCTTCCTTCACCCGACCTTCTCTTACCCTCCCTCCCTCCCATCCCCTTCCTTCCTTCCTTCCTTCTTCCTTCCTTCCTTCCTTCACCCGTATCCCTTCTCTTACCCTCCCTCCCTCCCTCCTCCCATCCCCTTCCTTCCTTTCCTTCCTTCCTTCCTTCCTTCTTCCTTCCTTCCTTCCTTTTCCTTCCTCCTTCCTTCCTTCTTTCCTTCCTTCTTCCTCCTTCCTTCCTTCCCTGCATCTCATTCCCTCATCTCTTCCCTTCTCCTTCCTTCTTTCCTCACTCCCCTCTCATTCCCATCCCTTCCTCCCTCCTCCCTCTTCCTTCCTCCTTCCTTCCTGCCTTCCTTCCTTCCTTCCGTCCTTCTTTCCTTCTTCCTTCCTTCCTTCCTTCCTTCCTTCCTTCTTTCCTTCCTTCCCTGCATCTCATTCCCTGCATCTCATTCCCTTTCTCCTTCCTTCTTTTTTCCCTCCTCCTCTCATTCCATCCTTCCTCTCCCGCCTTCCTTCCTTCCTTCACTCCCACTTTCTTTTACCTTCCCTCCCTCCTTCCTTCCTTCCTTCCTTCCTTCCTTCCTTCCTTCCTTCCTTCCTTCCTTCCTTCCTTCTTTTTTCCCTCCCTCCCTCCCTCCTCCTCCTCTTTCTCCTTCTCCTCATTCTTATCCCCACCTCCCTCCCTCCCTCCCTTCCTTCATTCATTCTTTGACATGATTTGCAGAAATTCAATACGAAGAAATGCAGACTTTCTCCTAGTCTACATACTTATTTATTATTTGTACTTATTTGCTAGATTAAAATCCTCTCTTCCTTTCCGTCTCAAGATGCCTTCTGTATTATGGCATCTGCCTTATGGAACAGCTTCCCTGCCCCGAGATAGGGTTGCTTTCCAGACAGTTGTGAAGAGCTGCTGGAGATGTTAACAGAGCGTAGTGTGGGTATGGACTAGAGCAGGGGTCCACCCCATTGCCGGCAATGGAAAAAAAGTCACGATATGTCACGACACATCACGTGACGTTGCGAGTTTGACACCCCTGGACTAGAGGCTTATTATAGGGCAGTGATGGCGAATCTTTTAGAGACCGAGTGCCCAAACTGCAACCCAAAAACCACTTATGCATCGTCGGGTACTGGGTGGGTGTGGCCATTGGCTGGGTGTGGCCCATTGGGTGGGCATGGCTGTGGTGGTAATGGCAGATTGGATGGGACTAAAAAGTTCAATCAATCAATGCCAACTTTGCAAGATCTTTTTTTTCCCCCCGCAAGGTTGAAATTGGACTAATTGATTGAACCCCCCCTTTTTTTTTTTTTGCACCTGGTGGCGGAGGCCTAAAGCAAAAAGGGTTTATAAAACCCAGCTGAAGGCCTAGGACTGGGGCAACGGTGCGCGTGCCCACAGAGAGGGCTCTGAGTGCCGCCTCTGGCACCCGTGCCATAGGTTCGCCACCACTGTTATAGGGTCTCCTTGTGATTCTTTTCATTGATTTGTGTATTATGTTTTTTTTTTGTTCTCATACATTTGCTGAATAAGGTGATAAAACATTGCATTCCAATTTTTACTTTTTAACAACTATCTGAGGAAATGTCACTATGGGTAGTCTTTGACTTAAAACAATTAGTAACAACAACAACAATAAAAAAAGTTGGAAGGGATCTTGGAGGTCATCCAGTCCAACCCCCTGCTTATGCAGAAAACCCTATAACATTTGAGACAAATGGCTGTCCAGTCTCTTCTTAAAAACTTCCAGTGTTGGAGCATTCACAGCTTCTGGAGGCAGGTTGTTCCACTGATTAATTGTTCTAACTGTCAGGAAGTTTCTCCTTAGTTCTAGGTTACTTCTCTCCTTGGTCAGTTTCCATCCGTTGCTTCTTGTCCTGCCTTCAGGTGCTTTAGAGAATAGCTTGACTCCCTCTTCTTTGGGGCAGCATTTACTGGCCTTTGCATGTTACAACAGCACTGTATCTTATAAACAGTCCTTGCACAGCATCCCCGTGGTCACGTGATCCAAATTTGGGCAACTGGCATGTGCATACAACAGTTGCAGCCTCCTGGAGTCCTGTGACCACCATTTTCAACCATTTCAGTTAGCTTTCCACAAATAAAAAAATAATAAAATGGGAAAAGGTGGATTTGCTTAACAACCACGTGGTTCACTTAACTGCAGTAATTCGCTTAACAAACACTGCAAACAAATGTCACAAAATCGGACCCGACTTATTTAATCCTTCCGCTTAATAATGGAAATTCTAGTCCTACTTTTGGTTGTAAGTCAAGAACTACCTGTGCTGTTGCTGCTGACGTTGAGGTCCTGTCGTATTCCTGAGGACCAGAAACTTAAGAAATAGAACTGGAATTAAAGGGATGGACAGGGAAGATCCTTGAGTTGCTGCTGAAAACGATCTCCCAGCCTCCAGTTCTCTTCCTTGCTGGGGGCCACCATCAATTTCTCTTGCCACCTGTTTGAGAAAGGTCTCTCTTGGCTGGGAGAATATAATACAGGCGCTCCTCGACTTAGAACAACAATTGAGGCAAAAAAAATCTGTTGCTAAGTGAGACGGTTGTTAAGTGAATTTTCCCCATTCTCCAGCACTGGAGATGGATAATCCACGCAGTGGGTTGAGACTGTATTCCTGGCCAATCAGATCAGTCAGCCAAAGTTGCCACGCCCGTCCTGGACCATGATTCTCCAGTCTTGACTGATCTGGCCACACAGAAAGACGTACAACTTTGGCTCTTGGGCAGGTATAGTTCCTTTCCATTGGGGGGATTTTCTTCTAGTAGCTGAAATTGCTTAGTTTAAAAGTTAATTAGAGATAATTTAATTCAATTTAATTGATTACTCAAAAATTTCCTGGCTAAATTGTAAGACTCAGGAAGTCAGATTCCCTACAGGGGAAACCACCCTCACTTAAAAGGGGGAAATCCCTAACTCCCCTCCCTAACCCAAACCCCAACCACCTTCCCACAGCCGGCAGCCAGCCTTAAACAAACGGGGAGGCTCGTGCAACCCCTCGCGTTAAAAAGAAAGACAGAAAGGCAAGCAATTAGCGAGGGGAGCGGAGGACAAAGGGGACGCATGCTGGGAGGGAGATTGATTAAGGGAAACAGCTGGCGTGCGAAGGAGCAGTCTCTTTCACTCACCAGGCTGCTCAGGATTTTTAAACGAGGCGCCATTGTCTGCACAGCTGGGAGCACGCGCGGCTCTTTGTTACAACCGCACGTGGCACAGGCAGCCTTTTTAGCACAGGCGCAATAATCTCCTGCTCTTTTTAACACATGCGCAGTAGTCTCCTGGCAGTGGCGGCCATATTTTTGTCCAAACAGGGGATCTTCTCCCTGAGAAGCCTAGGTTCAGCCGCTGGAGTGATTTAATAGGCAAGCAGTACTAGGGTACTAAAGCATCTATTATTCATTCAGAGACATTCAAATCAGACACATAGCTGCTGGTTCCAGGACTTGGTGTCTTCAATCTACAGTAAATAAGAACCTTTCATAACTAACTGTGTTTAGTTGCCTTTGGCTCCTTCCGGACTTCGGGTCCCCCATTAGTGGCCCGTACGCTTCTGGATTTAGTGGTGGGTTCCAGGCATCCCCAGTCGCGTGCCTGTTCTTACCCACCATAGTCAAGCCGGGTTCCAGGCATTCCCATTAGCGTGCCTGTTCTTATCCGTGCACAGTGACTAACTCTGACAATTTTGCAGAGTCTGCTCCTGAGTTCCAGACGCCCCCAGTAGTGCGCCTGTCCTTACTCAAAAGTTGGAGCTCTCCTACTACCTGGGTCCCCCCTATCGCGGCCCGGCGTTAATGGAGAATGGAGGAAGCAATCATTCCCTCCAGTGGAGCCCTGCCTTCATCCTCTGGAGCACCCGCTTCAGAGGATTCGGAATCCTCTGCAGCCCCTAGAAAGGCTGCAAGGAAGTCATCAAAGAAGGCTGACAAGCAGGCAATCAGAAGACACCAAGCCCTAGAAAAAGAGTTCGACAGAGCCCAGAAAAGGGCCAGAATCGAAAATAGGCAGAATGGGGGGATAGGTCCTGATCTACCGCTGGGTCTCCCTTCATCCCCACGGGCCATTTGGTCATTAGGGAACTCATCACAGTCCCAAACAGAGGGTGGGATAGGTGAATTCTCATCGCTCTCCCGATCCCCCTCCCCACGGAGGTTACAGGAAACCCCGAGGACCATGCTAACCACAGCACCTGCAGGGTCGCAGGCAATGGTTACTCCTCCTGCATTGACGGGGGATCTGCTAGCTACCCTAATAGCACAGGCAGTGGACCGTGCATTTGAGGCCAGGGCTCAAACTTCCAAAGCCAAGCCTCTAGGACTTAGAACGAGGCATCGGGAGGAAACGGAGGACCATCAGGACCTCTCCTCCTTCTCAGACTCGTCGGTCTCCGAGGAAGCTTACCTGGACCAGCCCGGTACGTCACAAGGGATTCAAATGTCTGAGGAAGAGGAGGACACCTCACCTCAAGGGCCGTCCTTCAGCGGCCTGTTTAACCCTTCTCTTTTTGTTACCATTCTGCGCAAGGCTGAGGCCACAGCCGATCTGGGGCATGGGACACCAGCGGAGCCTGTCACAGTTGACATGGAGGCTGAGCCAACGTTCGCCGAAAAGGTAATCACTCAACACCGCATACCATGCCCGACCATGTTCCTAAACACAATAAGGAAACAGTGGGCAGCGCCAACCTCCCTACCGCTTCCTAGCAATGCGGAGAGGAAGTTATTTAACGTAGCAAGGGAGCTAGAGGGAACATTGGAGGTGCC